TTAATTCTACCTCAAATATCATTAGTAACAGAAAAAGTAAATTTAGGAACGAAAAAATATCGTTACAAAATTGATATTTTCATGTAGTGTATATGTAAAACTAATGTAAGAGTATTGATGTAAATAAATATAAATGTTAAAGTATTTGTAATATATAATGGAGTCTATACATATTTACAAAATTGGATATTTTTGTGTTTGGACAATAAAAAATGACAAAATATAAATTTATCAAGTGGACTGAAAAAATATATATATATATATATATAAAAGATATTATATCAAAATGTTATTTAAAAAAATAAATAAAACAAAAGTCAAACAAATTTCAAACAAACGAATTCCCTATTAATAGGAAATTAATGTTGTCCCGAAGGTAACCATCATACGTGGGCTAAAGATGCCACTCTAAAAAGGTAATAATAATAATAATAATTCCCATTAGTCGCTACAAGGTAATAGTAATAATGGTCTTTGATGCAAACTACGTTCTTAGCACGTGTCTTTTGTTAGTCAAGTGATTGTTCGGGGGATTGGATTTTAAATACACTGTTCATTTTATTTTTTTTTCTCAAAAATATCAAATCAAATATCTATTTTTTATATTATATTAAAAATCAAATTTACATTCACAACATCACATCAAAATCTATTTATGTCACATCATACAACTATTCAAATTTAAAATTTTTACTATTCAAATCCCAACTCAAAATCCAAACCCCCAAACAAACACACCCTTAGGGTATTCTCTTGTAATTTATTTATTTATTTTTAAAACTTTTATATAAACATATTATTCGATATATACATATTCTTTTATAATTATTTCATATTTGTAATTAATACCAATCATTTAATAAAATCATTTTGACATTCAAATTGAGAGAAGAATCTTTTTAAATGTACACAAAAAAAATGCAAGCATTTAATAAATAAAACTATTACTCCTTCGGTCTATTTTCTATTGTTCTAAAGTATATTTGCACGGTTTTTTAGGTGATTTTCTTATTGTTATGAATGAACAAATTTGCCCTTAAGTGTATGGTAGAGATTAAAAGTAATAAATGAATGAAGGATAAAAATGTAAAATTTGTGTTAAAAAAAAATATGATCATAGTTGTTGGACGTCCCAAATAAGAAAATGGGACATTAGTTTGTGGACGGAGAGACTAATATTTTACAGAATTAAAATATACTATTTCATCTCAAGAAATATTCTATCAAATCACTATATAAATAAAAATACAAAATAAAAGCCAAACACAAGACACGCAAAATGTATGGTTTTGTTTGCTAACAATTACTCCCTCCGTCCACAAGAAAAGTATATAATTACTTTTGACGATAATAGTATTTTAATTATAGTGGGTAGTTAAAAGTAGTGTAATGACATTTTTGCCTTTGCTTTTTTGTGTAAAAGTAATGATGTGATGTAAAGTAGGGGTATTTGTGGAAAAAAGTAAGGTATTTAATAAAATGTTTACTTTGTAATTGGACGTCCCAAAATAGAAACATGTATACTTTCTAGCTGGACGGAGGGAGTATTTTTATTTTTATTACTATTCTGCATTCACTATTTTATATATATATATATATATATAATAATACATTTAAAAAAAAAAGTATTAACAAAAGACGTATTCAAAATATAATTTAAAAATTACTTTTAAAATTATTATACTCCCTCCGTTTCGGATATTTTGTCCGTTTTACTGTACACACGACAATTTTGTAGGAGTATAATTAGTAAATAATTAAAAATATATTAATGAAAATAATTATTATATAATAAAAATAATTATATATTAAGGTTAACGTAACTAATTAGTATAATTAAAATTTTTAAAATAAAATTAAAGTGTATAATTTTTTTTAAAAAAAAAAAAGTGACAAAATAAGTATAACGGACTAAAATAGAAAAAATGAACATGAAAAGTGAGACAAATGAAGTATTAAATATTTATTATTTATTTAAAATAGTGTATTGAAAATATCTTATAAAGTCGATGCATATTTATATCAAACAAACAATTTAATTTAATTTAATTTTTTTAATTCAATATTTGTATTCCAAAACCAACCCAAGATTTCATAACATTGAATCAATGGATGTGTCCCTTTAAAATTTGATTTAGGTTTGAGGTTTGAAGATAATATGACTGAGGAGTTTTAGGGTTTGTTTGTTTGGGGATTTTGATTTTGAGTTGAGATTTGAGTTTGTAAAAATTTTGAATTTGAATAGTTGTATGATATGATATAAATATGTGTTAATGTAATGTTTTGAATGTAAAATTAATTTTTAGTATAATATAAAAAATGATAAATAATTGTTTGATTTGATATTTTAAAAAAAAAATTGGATGAATAATATAAATCCAATCAAATCCCCCAAACAAACATACCCTTAGAGTTAAAAATGTAAATAAAATTGAGAATATTAAAAAGTTAATATTTGATGTAATATCAAATCAAATCCATAGAAATTGCAATAAAAGTTAGTTTGGTTTTTATATACATATACTTCTATTTTTATTATTCAATTTTTTTCTTTAAACAAATATTATACTCCATCCGTCCCGCGAAAGATGGAGTTTTTTATTAGGAATACAGTATTTTAGGTAGTGTAGATTATTAAGTTATTAATAATAAATTAATATAATATTTTATTATTTTTTATATATATAATGTTGTTGGTATTTTAAATATTTTTAAAATTATATCTCAATAAAATATATGCAATATGTATATCATTTCGTAGACAATAAAATTTTATATAATACAAATGAATAAAAATATATATATATTTATTTATCATTACTATAAATTAGTTTTAAAAAATGAAAAGTTTTAGTAGATAAAAATATTTGTTAATTGATGAGAAAGATAGAAATAAAAGACTTTTGAGTGGGTTCTAGTGTAAAATGTTAGAAACTTAATTAAATTGATTTATATTGGTTAAATATGTTCAAAATTGATAAACTTACTAAAAATAGAAAAGAGTCATTTTTTATGGGACGTAAAAAAGAAAAAATGAGATCATACGTAGCGGGACCAGGGGAGTACTAAACATAAATTTTTCATTAAAAAAAAAAATGCAATAAAAATTGATACTCATTAGGTCTTGTTTCAAATTTTACTGAGCTGTTTTGACAAATAGTTTTTGGGATGGGCTTTAAATTACATTCAGTGGACCTAACCCAATAAGCAAATCCTAATTATTCATCTTTGTAATATATTTTTGATGTATTTAGATTATAATACTTGGGTTTTATTTTAAATAATAATTTATACAGTATTAATAGTATTACTAATATATAATAATATTAATTTATTACTTAATAATAGTAAATTATGATATTATTTTATTATTTTTTATATAATTAATAATATTGATAATTTTAAAATAAATTTAATATAATTCATATCAGTTCAAAGTACTATTGTTTGTCATTTTCATTGATTTTATTCAAAAGTATAAAGTTTCTTTTTAATATAAGTAATTATATATTAATATCAAAATACCTTTTAATTTTTATTTAAATTACAAACATACAATTACACATATAATTACTTTATACATAAAGTTAATAAAACAAAAATGTCAAATTTTTTTACATACTTTCACTAACAAATAAAATATTATTATTTTTTAATTTATTACAAAACCTGACAAAACCTGGACTATTTCGAATGGGACGGGTGGAGGTATTTAAATATTTTAAAAATTATATGAAATATAATTTATATAATACAAGTAAATAAAATATGTGTACTTATTCATAATTAATATAAATTAATTTTATAAAAAGTGTAGAATTTTAAATGAATAAAAATATTTATTTTTTCTAGGAAAGAGATATAAATAAAAAGGTTTTGAATGAGTTATACATGATTTATAGTATTATATACTTCCTCCGTTCCACAACTATAGTCTGGGTTATGTTTGACACGGGATTTAAGAAATATTAATATTATATTACTAATTGGTAAAAATTACGGATAAAAGACTTTTTTGGTCTTGTGAGTGTATTAGTGTAAAAAGTAGTGGCAATTGTGTAATAATAATGTAAAAGTAAGAGTAATTTTATAATGATATAGTTATTTATGAAAATGAGACTATTGTTTTGAGACGGACAAAAATGGTAAACATGACTATTATATTGAAACAAATGGAGTATTATATAGTTAATTAAAATGATTTATATTTGTTAAATGTAAGTTTTATCCGGTGTTAATTGTTATTGAACAAATATAAAATAAAAGGGTTTTGAATGTCTTCTACATGTGACAACATTGGAGCTTTGCTCTATCTATTATTTTTTACCACATATTATTTTTAAAAAATTAATATATCATATTTATTATTTTTATATTTTTTACACAATTTTCTATGCTTTATATAAAAAAAAATTAATTTCCAACAAGTTTGTTCACATTGAGTAGCTAAGTGACATCAAACATTATTTAAAAAATAAAATATATAAATACTAACACAATATATATTTTATTCGGTTAAAAAGTCGTATTTTTAATATAAAATATATTGTTTTTTATTTACCAATACAAATTTTTATATTTAACATAAAATAAAAATTATTCATTTGTTCTTCCTATATTTTCTATCACAAAAGTCAACAATCAATATAAAATATTATTTTTTTATTAGTTATACAATTATTTATTACTCACATTAAAAATAAAATTCGAAATCAAAACATTAAACAAACAAATCTTTTATATTTTTTACTATAAATTAATTTTCTACTTAAAATATCATTTAATATTTATTTATATTATATTAAATAATATTCAATCTAATCCTTCAATGTATTTTGCAATATATTTTTTAAATTTTTTTATTTTGGTAGTGCTTGTTATATTTTTAAAATAAAAAATAATTAATATATTTTATATGAACAGGAGAAGAATCTATTAAAATTTAAAATTTTATTTATTAAAATAATTCAACCCAAAATGCAAATAGTTAGGCAAACTATTTATCCGGCCCGCGGCAGAGCCCTAGGCCCAAATCCACTTCAGTTTCCAGCCGGTAAAATCGCCGCCGTCTTTCATCGTCTTTTGCTTTCTCCGGCGTCGTCGTCGTCGTCGTCGTCGCCCTCAAGTCTGGTCTTCTTCTGAGGCTTTGCTTTGTAAGTCAAATTCTTGCACTAAATAATTCGTCGAAAGTCAATTCTTCGCGGAACAGCTGAGATATTTGCACTAATTTCGGTTATTTGTTGAATCTATTTGCTTTAGATTCCTTCGTTTTGAATTATTTGCAAATAATTCAAAATAGGTTCCGGTAACGCAAAATTCGATTCGATTCAAGGTTTCGAATATTTGCACGAAAATATCGGACTCGGAACTTCCAGGAGTTATCAAAATTCAAAACCCTCGATTTTGACCTTAAACCCTCGCGCCGACACTTGTTCAATTCAATTCAATTCAATTGTGCTGTGGTCTAAATAAGGTATATGAGATGCAAATTTCAAGGTCTTCTGTTTGATGGGACATTTTGGACTATTGAGCAGCGAAGAATTTGCTGTGCTAGGGTTTAGTTTCTGTAATTTGGTGAATTATTTGTGCTTTATGTGGGCGGACGTCTCGAAGTTTTAATGGATACTTCCCAATTGTTCGTATGCTTCTACAATGTACGCCGTAGCTCTTTTGAGTCCAAAATTTTTCAGGAGATTTACTTATTTTCGTGTCATTTCTCGAAAACTTTGCAACCGAGTGTATAATGGTGATGGCCACGAGAATGGATTCGGGCGCATCGAAGATTTTCTTAATGAATCATGGAAAAGCTCAGACGTTGAGCACAAGGTGGAAGAAAAGGGTGATACATTTGGTTCTTGGGGAATCAATGATGATTCCAGCAGAAACTTTTCATCAAGACAAAGTTTTATTAATGAGACAAAGTATGGTGCCGAGAGGATTCTGGCAATTCTTCACCAAGATGGTCCGGGATTAGATGCAAAAGCAGTTCTTAATGGTTTAGCAGTGAGGGTCTCAGGTCTTCTTGTGAGAGAAGTTCTTTTCAGCATCTTGAAGATGATTAATTCTGCCAATAAAAACAGATGTGCGAAGCTGGGATACAAGTTTTTTGTGTGGTCGGGAGAACAGGAGAACTACAGGCACACCGAAAACGCATACCATTTAATGATGAAGATATTTGCAGAGTGTGGGGAACTAAAGGCTATGTGGAGATTGGTTGAAGAGATGATTGAGAAAGGATATCCGATGACGGCAAGGACATTCAACATAGTCATATGTTCTTGCCGTGAGGCAGGGATAGCTCGGACAGTTATAGAGAGGTTTATCAAGTCGAAAGTGTTTAATTATAGGCAGGTTAAAGATTCATTCAATGCAATCCTACGTTCTCTTTTGATATTAAATCAGTACAAATTGGTCGAGTGGGTGTATCAGCAGATGTTGGCTGCAGGCCATTGTCCGAACGCTTTAACTTATAACATCATCATGTGTGCAAAGTTTAGATTGGGAAAACTCGATGAGTTCCATGGATTACTTGCTGAGATGGGCAGATGTGGGCTTTCGCCTGATATTCATACATTCAATATCCTTCTCCATGTTCTTGGGAAAGGGGATAAGCCTGTAGCAGCATTGAAGCTTTTGAATCACATGAAGGATGTTGGTATTGATCCGAGCGTTCTCCACTACACGACATTGATAGATGGGTTGAGTCGGGCTGGTAATTTGGAAGCCAGCCAGTATTTCTTCGATGAAATGGTTAGGCACGGATGCACGCCTGATGTTGTCTCTTACACTGTCATGATAACAGGGTTTGTTGCGGGGGGACAGATTGATAAAGCTCAGGCAATGTTTGCCGAAATGATTGATAAGGGGCAGTTGCCTAATGTCTTTACTTACAATTCGATGATTCGTGGGCTGTGTTTGATTGGAAAGTTCGAGGAGGCTTGGTTGATGTTGAAAGAAATGGACTCAAAAGGCTGTAATCCTAATTTTCTTGTGTACACTACGCTAGTGGGTTATCTGCGAAATGCGGGTAAATTGTCTAAAGCTCATGAAGTTATACGGCATATGATGGAAAAGGGACGCTATACCCATTTGGTGTCTAAAATTAAAAATTACAGACGGTGCTGATAAGGAAGGTACATTGTAGCAAATACTGAAACTGTAGTTGCTTTTATCTTTCTGCTGTAGTTGTTTTATCTTCATTTTGTGGTAAATTATATGCCCTTTGCTTCTGGATATTTGAATCAAATGGACTTAATTGTTCGTTTAATACATAGTTGAATTGCAAGTGAAAGAACACGTACATTTGCCTTGAATTTAATGGCAGTTTCAATTCAAAGCCTTTTGTCGGTTTAGTTGTATGCTTGAAGAATCATGCATGCCTAAATACTGTACTGCTGATGGTTTTACAAATTCATAGAGCTAAGTTACAATGGCCATTTGATGAGAGTCTTATATTCATGCTATCAATCCTTGTGTGTCTCATAGTTTTCAATGTCGTACTAATAGTATTGTAGTGGAATGCCTTTTAAATTGAGTAATATATTATAATCTTTATTATACATAGGTTTAGATTTTATAATATAATATTATGGGTTTGTTTGCCCAATAAATTTTTTTTGACATGATTTCGGATAAATAGTAATAAAAAATACAATATATTTACACATTCATATAATATAAATAATATATATTTTTTATTTTATCACAAAAAATAATAATTCAATATAAAATATTATTTTTTATATTATCGACACAATTTCTTATACTTTATATAAAAAAAACACCTTAAACTAAAATACTAAACAAACAATTTTATATTTATCGAGACAATTTATTTGTTATTTGATAAATGTAGATTTCATGCTATTATATTATAGTCTACTATAGCTACTTTTAGTCAAGAAAGAGAAAGAACATTGTGCAATGTCACAATCATAAAATAGAAAAAAAAATAAAAATGAAGAAGAATATGAAAGAGGAAGAATATTCATGCAAGAATAGCAATAAGGTGAAAATGAAGAAGAATATGAAGAGGAAGAATATTCATGCAAGAATAGCAACAAGGTGAAAATGAAGAAGAAAATTATTTATAAGATTTTAAATCTTGTTAATTTTGATTATCTATCTATCAAATTAGTTGTGATATAATTGTTTTTACTTATATAACTTTCTATGAGCTATAATTATATATATGCGCAGTTTTATTGGTTTGAATGATAATAATGAGATTAATTTATAGATTTATTTTATGCATTTTTATTGTAAATTTGTATATCTAATAGTTTTTATATATATATTCTTAAAATTTTAAAATAGTGGTTATCCCGTTATCCACAATCCAGCTATAACATTTTAGAGGTTGATCACTATGTAATATTATTCGAGATGATTGACAACTATGGAACTTTCTAAAAAACAAAAGATCACTCGCCCAAGAAAAGCTACAAAATTTTATAGTTATTTTTTGTGTGATCATTTTCATTTCCCATACTTAGGTAATTTGCTTAGATAATAAATGGTTTCCAAGGAATTATTACATTGTCATTTGATCGATAATTCAACTCTCAATTATAAGGTGATGGCTATAGTTTCGTTATTATAACTTCATTGCATGCCTCGACATTCTTTTTGCAGTGCAAGAATTTTGGGAAGCAGATATCATCAGGGATGGAAAATGCGCAGACGAATTTTATTCAAGACAATTATTGTATATAGAGAATATCAAGAAACTTGACATTAGACGACATTATTATTGTGAAAGAGTTCATGATTTTGATCTTCATTATTATATCTTTTTCTCTGCGTCTTTCTCCTCCTCCACGACGCCAATGGAAGCTACAGTTACCTCCCCAACTTTCTTCAGTTTCTTCATTAAAGCAGATGTATCCATATCTCCGATCACTGTCAGCTCCTGATTGTCGATATCAGCACCAATTGAATCAACCCCTGTTTCAAAAAAATCAGCCATACATTGAAAAAGTGGATCTATTCTTTGAGGGCATTTGAAGAAATATCAGTTGAGGTAAGTACCGAGAATATCTGCAGCTGCTTCCATGGCTTTCTGCCTTACTTTCTCATTCGTCATTGTTGAAATCTTCAGCACAATTTTTTGCTGTTTCATACTCAAAATTTTCAGAGTTATGACAGAAATTGAAAATTGACATTAACTCAAACTAAATAGATTAAATTACCTGAGCCATGGAGAATAAATGAATGAATTGGAGGAAAGGCTCTTTTGATGGTATGATTAATGTTTTTGGTTTCGGGAATTTCAAATATATATATATATTTGACTGTATGGTGTAATTAAATTTTGTTATTTATTGTTGGCTGATTTTCTTTAGTATTTTTTATGTGGTGTGGTTTCTCAAATAGTGAAGGAAATCTATGACGATTTTGTGGTGTTTATTACATACAAATCTTGGAGGCGATTTGGTGGATTTTAATGTGTGAATTGTGGCAAGAATTTGGTGGTTTGGTATGGAATGGAAAATTTGAATTAATTGTCACAATTCTTCTAATATTGCGATGCCAAACAAGTGTTTGCATGTTTTATTTAGGGGTGTTTTGCATTTAATTTTTCTAACGAAAAGTAATTTTGGAATTGATGTTTTAAATGGATAATTGGTGTTTCGACGTAATGGTTTTGGACGAAAATTAGTTGTTGGAAAACTTGCATTTACTTTTGTTTTGGGATGTTTTCATTTGTGTAATATTTGAAGATTTTTATGGTAGAGATTGTTTATTGATAATTTCCTTATTAAAGTGTATACATGTAGAGGAAAAAATTCCTTATTGATAGTCTACAGCTTTGAATTCTGAAATTTGGAATTTTTTTAAAAAAATTCTATCGAATTCGAGTTTGATTCAGCATTCTTTTGTTTAATTACCAAATTGGAAAATAAAAATAGTAGGATTCTGAATTGGCTGCAATGAGATTTATTTTTTCTATGTTTTATAATTTGGCATTTATATATTTTGTTTTAGGCCTTTTATGTTTTATGCTTAGGTTTTTTCATTAACCAATGTTCCGAATCTATGATATATATATATGTATGTATATATATTGAATTTGAAATTTGCACTGCTTTAATAGTTTCAGAATCTGCTCATAAACAATCTGCTTCATTTACACCTCAACTGCTCTGCTCTGTCTATGTTGTTGCATGATATTTGATACATCGATCAAAGATGTTCCGATTTTGATTAATATGGAATCAAAACTTCCAAACTTCTGCATTCTGCAAATTTGAAAATTCTTAAAAACTGTACACCCCATTTTTGAGCTGATGACATATATATATATATGTGTATATATGAGCAGGAAACACAGTGTATGGAATGGTAGTGGTCATTGAATGCAAACTCAGGCAAATGCAGCATCTGGAATGTGACAATGGACGACGAATGCCTTCTCAAGTTCTTGTAGCTAAAAGCAAAACGAATCCATCAATTTGTCTCCTCCGAGATCGAGGCTCAATGAATAACAGTGGGTAAAATCCGCAAACACCTATTGGTTAATGCCATTATGCTGTGTTCAATTTTGATTTCATCCACAATATAGATGAAGATGATCTACACTGGTTTAGACGAACACATTCAAGTGGGACAACGGACTTGATATCACAAAAAGAGCGAGCCACCTCCAAATTCCGGTATGATCTGATCTGTCAGTACATTTGATTCTATTATACATTGCAATTCTTAGTCCTCCCGACGAAGATGAACAAAAAAATAACAAATTAGCGAGTTCTAAGGGTGTGTTTGTTTGTGGCTTTGGATTTGGATTTTTTAATAGTAAAAATTTGAAGTTGAACCTAAAATAGGTTTTTAGTATGGAAAAAAAATCTAAATAATAAATTTTTTGTGAAAAAACAAAAAATAGTGTTTTTTTTTTTTTAAGATAGTCTAATATCATCTAATTCGATCACCATTGGTATACCTACCTCAATAGTGTATTTCTACAGAAAATTACGACAGTGAAAAAATTGATAAAAAAACAAAAACATAGCTATTAGATCCGGGAATTTGTAAGGTTTGATTCTTTGGATACTTGGATTGCTTTGTGGTGAAGCGATGGCGATGAAATTAGATGAGATTAGGCAGGCCATCTTCGATGATGCCATGGCCTTTTCTTATACCCTCCTTATGTATGTCTGTCAGTGTGTGTCTTATGTTAGACTTAGAGTGCAAACCAAGCCATGTCTTCTTGCCCTACTTGCTGCTTTACTCACTTTTTAATTATTATTTTTATTTTTTAAGATTTTTTAAATTATTCTTGCTTCTAAATGAATTCAAGAAAACAATTCTCATTGAATTGATAGAGTGATGATGGTGATATGGGGTCTAATTATTTGTAGTGAGAAGAATCTTCTTCTATCTGCTTATTCTTTTGATTGATTCAATTCCTTGCTTCAATCAACAGCTCTTGCTGCTGACACAAATTTTGTGACTGTCTGAAGTGGGTGTGTGTTCCTTTGTTTTGGTTTGAAAGAATTTATTTTATTTTATTTTACGAGAAGTATATGAAATTATCTAAGTAATATAAAAATAATAAGTGTGTGTAGTATATTAATATTTTGGGAGAGAACTTTTGGATAAAAGAACAAATTCGTGATTTTTGTTGTTTATTGCTATTATTTTGGGTTTTGGTTTGAATAATTGAAATTTTAAAAAATAATTATTCACCAAGGTTTGGTTGGCTACATTTTCAATACTTAAATATGTTTTCACTTTTCATTTACTGTGATCTTTTTAATATTTCTGTTTAAAAAAATTATATTTTATTTGGGATGTGTTTGTTTGCAAGATTATTATTATTATTTTAAATTTTGAAAAAGATAATAAATTAAATATATATTTTTTTATATATTTACTCAATTTATTAATAAACTATTCATTTCAACAAAATATTTATTTTATTTTATTTAGTAATTGTATTTGTTCTTACAATTTACAATATAATATTATATAAATAATATTATTTTTATATTATACAATACTAATAAAATTATTTTAATATTTTCTACTTATATACGTAAAATTCCACAGGCAGTATAATATTAAAAATTAATTTTACATTTAAAACATCTCTTAAATATCTATTTATACCACAATAATTACGATTCTATAAAATCTTTAAATTATATTGTTAATTTTTACTAATATACTTCTTAATTATCTACTAATTATATTTTATAAATTTTTGTATCTACAATAATAAGTCCAAAATATGTGGGACGGAGGGAGTAATTTTTATTACTTAAAAAGCTTTCCAAAACTAAAAAAAAAACATCTGTCTAAATATGTTTTTTCTTTTTAGGGTGTGTTTATTTGGGGGTTTGGATTTTGAGTTGGGATTTGAATAGTAAAAATTTTGAATTTAAATAGTTGTATGATGGAATATAAATAGGTATTGATGTGATGTTTTGAATGTAAAATTGATTTTTAATATAATATAAAAATAAAAAATAGATGTTTAATTTAATGTTTTGGGGAAAAAAATGATAAATGGTACAAATTTTCACAAATCCCTCAAACAAACACACCCTTAGTAAAATTCAACAAACAAACACATCCTCATAGTAGTTAGTGCTAATCATTCACTTAATGACGCGATTATAATTAATTAATTACTTTCTATCAATATATTATTATGCTTACTGTTTCTTCTCTGTACTCCAGATTCCAGATCCAGACCAAAAATTCCCACTCCCAGGATCTCCCGCACCCGGAGAATCACCACCGTCCATCATTTGGATTTCCATCCTATCATCTACGGCTTAGATGCAACGCTATTTTGATCCAGGGAGCTTGCCCGCCTGGAGCCTGTCAACGGTCATGTGCCAAACCGCTCACGCACGTGCCGCCAACTTTTCCCACGTGAACAGCGCGTGACAATCACGCCCATCTTAGGCGCGTGGCGCGATCTCTCTCACCCACCTCACCAAAAATGCATTTCAAAATTCAAAATTCGAAAACTCCCACCGCATAATCCACTTTCTATATATTAACAGAAACTCCTCCGGCGTTTCAATTTCACTCCCAAATCTGTCTCTCAACCAAACCCTAATTTCTCTCTGAAAATCAACATTTTCTGCAAAAAAAAATTCGAAAATGCGTGAGATCTTGCACATTCAGGGCGGGCAGTGCGGGAACCAGATCGGAGCCAAGTTCTGGGAGGTTGTTTGCGCCGAGCACGGCATCGATTCCACCGGAAGGTACCATGGCGACAACGACCTGCAGCTCGAGCGAGTTAATGTCTACTACAATGAGGCCAGCTGCGGTCGGTTTGTTCCTCGCGCCGTCCTCATGGATTTGGAGCCTGGTACGATGGACAGCGTCAGATCTGGACCGTACGGGCAGATATTCCGGCCGGATAACTTCGTCTTCGGCCAGTCCGGCGCCGGGAATAACTGGGCGAAGGGGCATTACACTGAGGGAGCGGAGCTAATTGATTCGGTGCTCGATGTTGTCAGGAAAGAGGCAGAGAACTGCGATTGCTTGCAAGGTTTGTTGTTGTTGTTTATTCAGAATTGTTTCTGTTGGTTGCGTTTTTTTGTTGTTTTTTCGATTTCCTGTATTGTGTGCGACTGTTGTTTGTATTTCAGAATTTGTTTGTTAATTTGTGGAATCATCTGGTATTAGATATATATGTAGTTTTTGTATGTGTTCTTCCTTGGAAAATTGCGTAGATCTGAAGATTCCTATTCGGTTTGAGGATAATCTGGATAGATGTTTGCCTTATGTTTAATTTTGTTAACAATAGTTTAAGCTTCAATTGTTTAGATCTGCTAAATATTGGTATTTGTGATGCCTCACTGATCTTAAATACATCATCAGAATATGCAGCTAATGTGTTGGTAGAAGATATTTCAGTACACAGTATTACTATTTCCATGTACATACGGATTTTTGCTTTAAGTTCTCATTCGCAACACACACACACACACACACATATATATATATAATATTGATACTTTGGAAGATTTGCTGTAACTACTATGCTCTGTTTCAGTGATTGAATTACAATTGTATACTACTTAAGTTATAATAAAATGATTTGTTGTTAATCTCCATGGAAATGTTCTTTTCTAGTAACTCTTCTAATGGAGAAAGCCTGTATTGGTACTATTTCTAAAGGATTCTTTGGATTTCGTATCTTGCAGGATTTCAGGTCTGTCACTCATTAGGAGGTGGAACTGGATCTGGAATGGGAACTCTGTTGATCTCCAAGATCAGGGAAGAGTACCCCGACAGAATGATGCTCACCTTCTCCGTATTCCCATCCCCAAAGGTATCTGACACTGTTGTTGAACCCTACAATGCCACACTCTCTGTTCATCAGCTTGTTGAGAATGCTGACGAATGTATGGTCTTGGACAACGAAGCTCTCTATGATATCTGCTTCCGGACACTCAAACTCACCACCCCTAGCTGTGAGTTTCTCTCTTTCAATCTTCCTACCTGTTCCATTGCGCATCTAATTCTTTGACTGGTTATTTTTATTTTCAGTCGGAGATCTCAACCATTTGATATCTGCTACAATGAGCGGCGTGACATGCTGCCTGCGATTCCCCGGTCAACTAAATTCCGATCTTCGCAAACTGGCCGTAAACCTCATTCCATTCCCGCGGCTCCACTTTTTCATGGTTGGGTTTGCTCCACTCACATCTCGTGGGTCGCAGCAGTACAGAGCCCTAACCGTCCCCGAGCTGACCCAACAAATGTGGGACGCTAAGAACATGATGTGCGCCGCTGATCCGCGCCACGGCCGTTACTTAACTGCCTCGGCGATGTTCCGCGGCAAGATGAGCACTAAGGAGGTCGACGAGCAGATGATCAACGTCCAGAACAAGAACTCGTCCTACTTTGTAGAATGGATCCCCAACAATGTTAAGTCGACGGTGTGCGATATTCCTCCAACGGGGCTGAAGATGGCGTCGACGTTCATCGGGAACTCGACTTCGATTCAGGAGATGTTCCGGAGGGTGAGCGAGCAGTTCACGGCGATGTTTAGGAGGAAGGCTTTCTTGCATTGGTACACGGGGGAGGGTATGGACGAGATGGAGTTTACGGAGGCGGAGAGTAATATGAATGACTTGGTTTCGGAGTATCAGCAGTACCAAGATGCGACTGCCGACGAGGAAGGTGACGGCTACTATGAGGAGGATGAAGATGGGCAGGAAGAGGCTTAAGGTTTGATTGTTTGTTTGTTATTATGCGTTTGTTTGTTTGGTATGGGAAGTGTCTTTTATATAGCTCAGCTCGGCTATCTCTATCTCTACTGGATATTATTGACTGATGTTTTGCTGTGGTGTTTTTTGTTGTGCCTTCTTTCTTTTTTTTTTACTTAGGTTTGTTTTGCTTTTGTGGTGCGTTGTTCTATGCTATCTTTTGGTAAAATCTGATGCCTGTCTCTATTAATGAATGGTTTGTGTAGAGTTATGTTTTGTCTGAATTTTTTGGCTTGTGATTAAATTTTTTTGGATGAATTTGGATTGTAAAGACTAAAGAGTCGTTTCTAAGGTTGTTTTGTGGTGTGTATGTTGTCTATGTTATGTTTTTTTCTGGGTACGATTCTTCAGCATAATTTTCCCAAATTTTGAACTCTGTGTTTCTCAAAAAAATTAAAAAAAAAAAATACATTTTTTTCTTTCAAAAACTATCTCATCAAATATTATTTTTATATCAAATTCAAATCAATTTTTTTCCGAATTCATCCAAAAAAACCAAATTTTGTTTTAGGTTACTTTCGTTTAGATTTGAACATTTTTGAATGGTAAAAAAAATTGATTTAATGGATTAGGTATTTTATTGTAGAATAAGAGTTTGTTCTTTTATTATCTTATATTTTAAATAAGTATTGTGGTTTAGAATAGAAGTAGGTATTTTGCTTTGTCACTTGCTTTTGAGTTGCATTTTTCAATTATTTAATGTGTTGGCATTTATTTTTTTAATTTTTTCTGGTATTATGTGACTTTTTATTTCATGTAAAATAATAATCTACAAAGAGAGCATTTAAATATTAATTAAATAAATCTGATCAAAAACAAAATTTGAAACTACAATTTCCATTAGCCAAACATAACCTAAAAATGGCCAAAGGACAAATCTAGACAATATATTTATATGCACGCATCTTTTGAGTTTACTAAGGGCATCAAATCAAAAACCATATCCAAATAAAAGTTGCAAGCAAGCATGTGAATAGAAGATTCAATTATCATCTTAATATTTGACATTAGAAATGCTTGATACTGGAAACACCAATTATTTCAGATACTTGATTTTTTGATGCTTCAAAACCAAACATTTTTCTGCAAAAAAAGATCGAAATGACAATAATAATAATAATAATAATAATAGAACTTGCTGCTTGACGACACCGGAAATATGATCTTACCGCGAAATAGTAGTGGCGTTTCGTTTAGGCTCCGAACTTGGGGACCTTTGCAGTCGATATCTGCGCAAGAAAGTGTTCGGACACAATCCGCCGCTGAATTTTGCCGGTTGCAGTTTTAGGAAGTGTATCAGTGATGAAAACCTTCTTTGGAACCTTGAAAGCAGCCAGAGTTCCCTTGCAGAACCTCGAAACCTTTTCCTCATCCAGGTTCGATCCTTCTCTAGGAATAACAGCACAGTTTACCTGCAACACCGAGTATAAAAAAAAATATCAAAATCAAACGCTTACTTTTAATTTTTTATATTATACTAAAAAATTCATTCAAACCATTATACCAATACATATTAATATCAAATCATACGCACTATTCAAATTCAAAATTTATATTATTCAAATCCAAACCCCCCCCCCCCCCAAGCAAACACACCATAGAAACAATTACAAATAAGTTACATATCAATTTATCTTTACTCTTGCTTTTATTTACCAAAACACCTCACACAATTCAATCTTCACCTCAAAACTCTATAATAGTTTAAACTTTTTTGTGTTACACAAACAAACTTGCCAATATATCAAAATAATTGACAAAAGACAAGCAAATAAACATTTCTCTGAAAATAATTTAAGTGTTGATTGCAGTGTTCCTAAACTGTGGTCAAGACAGCAGGTACGGTATCAGATGATAGATTTTGAAGAAGATTTTATCTTTAGATTTCGACAAAGATGTATCTTTAGATTTCGACATGTAGAAAGATATGATCCATAAATAATAATTCAGTCCCCTACCAGTGGGGTGGGGTGGGGGCGAGCCAATTAGCACATGTGCTTCTTAGACATCGGCCTCTCTATGAGACTATGACCATAGAAACAATAGGATACACAGAGATACATACATACATATTCAGAGACATTTTAAAATCACCAATACAAACAAAAACGCGCATGATTTTGGGCCCGGTATATAAATAGAGGCATATATTGTCATAAAAGTCACACACGTGTTTGTTTACTTGAATAAAATATTAAAACTATTACTAATAAAAATATATTACACCCTTAAGTCTCACAGTTTTTGTTTTTGTAATTAAAATAATAATATAATTTTATTTTTTAATCAATACAAATATGTACAATTTTTTTTTTAAGAATTAAAAGCCAAAAGTCCTCGTCAAACTCTAATCCAAATTGACCATATAATCAATTTATCATCATTTTTTTTTTGCTTTCTCACATTATGTTTTATTAATTCTTTAAGAATTTTTTTTGTAATAAACCATTTTTACATTAAAATCTTGAAAGGAAGCGGTATCCGTCCCACTTAATATTCGTCTCATCTTTCTATTTCTGTCGTTCCCACGTAATTTAGTTTTTTTCTTTTTTAAAAATATAATTGTACAATTTAATTGCATTTCAAAATTCAAAATTTATAATTTTTTATTTTAATTAAACTATTTAGTCATCTTAATATTTATTTATAATTATTTTTATTAAATTATAATAATTTTTTTAATATTACTTACTAATTACACAATACCTAAAATTCTATGTCTAAACTAAATAGGACAATTTAGCTGTGGAATAGAGAGAATATATAAATATAATTTCAAAGATATTACGTGCCATAAAATGGGTGGAGAGAGTGCTTACCTCTTCGCCATATTTATCATCAGGGACGCCAAAAGACACAGCCTGAGCAATATCCGGGTGGGACAACAGGACTGCATCTATTTCAATTGGTGAGATTTTTTCCCCTGAAATTTCTCCATAGGAATTAGATTAGATTAAAAGTTCCAACTCAACATGTTGAATCAATCAAAAGGCACAAAATATTAAAATAAATTCGAGCACGTCGAGACAGAATAAACAATGTAACAGACTGTGAAAAGTACACCTTCTGGACACTCCCAATGGGTCCCACGCAATGCATACGTGTAAGCAACAAAAAACCACATCGAAGAAAGAGAGCTCAAATATATATACATATTTATATGTCACGAGCCCAATCGATATCTGTTAAGCCAAATGCAGAAGGCCACATGCATTATTTTCTGTCGATCATTAACACCTATAGGTCCTGTACCATTCAATGGATGACAGATGTTTGGTAGTGAGGTTTTTGTATTTTTATGTATTCAATTAAACTATGGAAAGGAAGTGAATTGATAACAGCCACTAGTTGTTAATTCTGACTTACAGAAAAACTACTAAGTAATTAGAGTGAGGGATCAAAGTGGCATAATTCTCGGAATCCTACGGAAGATGAGAAGTAAAATTGATGAAGAAAATGAATTTAAATAGTAAGATTGATGAAGAAAATGAATTTACCTCCACGATTGATCAGTTCCTTGATTCTGCCAACAAGATGCAAGTAGCCATCTGAATCAAAGAATCCCAAATCTCCTGTATGGAACCATCCGAACTGGAAAGCAACTTTGTTAGCCTCAGGGTTGTTCTTGTATCCGCTCGTTACATTAGGGCCTCTTATGCAGACCTCACCATTCGAATTAGCCTCTTGAACAGTACCATTCTCATTCAATATTGCCATTTCTTGGCCTACTGGTTTGCCCACGGACCCAGGCTTGTGGGGCCCATATTCAGGTAAGGGATTGGTCGCCATTAAATGAGTTGCCTCGGTCATGGCGTACGCCTCCAAAACCGGAGCACCAAAAGCCTCCTCAAGGCGAGCCATGATTGCAGGTGCTAAGGATGCGCTGCAGCTTCGGATGAATCGGAGCTTAGGGTAGACTGGTTCGGGACGGCTGAGATGGCGGTCGAGAATTATCTGGTGGATTGTTGGCACCGCCGTGTACCAGGTGGCGTTGTAGTTGTTCATATCGGACCAGAATGTGGAGGCGGAGAATCTCCCGGCGGCGGGGAGAGTTACGGCGGCGCCGGCGCCGAGGGAGCTGAATAAGCCGGCCAATAAGCCGTGCACGTGAAACAAGGGGAGAACAATCACCGTAGAGTCTGTTTCTGTGATTTTGTAGACAGATTTGATGTTCTGCACAGAGGAATAGAGATTCTGCTGCGTTAGAGGCACGCCTTTCGGTCGGCTCGTCGTGCCGGAAGTGTGGAGGAACAGTGCTACGTCGGAAGATTCGTTGGTGAGTTTTGTAACTGCATCTGAATGGACGTCGGAATTAGGTGTTGTTGGGGATAACACCATTTCTGAATCGGCGGCTGGTAATGCGGCTGAGAGATGCGGAATGGTGAGCTTCGCAGCGGCGGCTTGAGCCGGCTCGTTACCTTCTTTAGATGTAATCAAGAGCTTTGATTCTGAGTCCGATAGATAAAACTCGAACTCGTCGAAAGTGTAGGCGGAGTTGAGCGGCGCCGCCGTCGCTCGGACGCGTATCACAGCCAGAAACATTATAATAAACTGCAAAACAAGCAATTAACAAATCATTTCTGGAAAATCGACCTTGCGTCATCCGTCAAACAACTTCGTGTTATTCGAAAATTAAATAACATATACATAGAATCAATTGAGATTTGAGAGCATATTTTTCACAAAAACAGTATTGAAATTAACACAGAGCAAAACAGGGGATGAAGAAACGAAAATCGCCTAACAAATTCACAAAATTCAATTAGTTCATCTCCATTCACCACAAACAAATTTCAAATTCGAATCACGAGACTCCAATTATCACAATTAAAACCACAAATCAGCATCCTAAACCGTAAACAGACTCTACCTCAACGGTGTTCAGGAAAGTGAGCGCAACCACATCCCCCGGCTTAACTCCGGCGGCGATGAGGCTAGCGGCGGCGCGTTCCACCAGACGATTGAGTTGCACGTGAGTGAGATCGAAGTTTCCGGAGACGGAAATCGCTCGCCGCGTCGGAAACACGGCGGCGACGTGGCTCAACAATCCGGTGAGGGTGGATGCCGTCGTAGCCATTAGCGGTTTGAGAAATTTCTAGAGAACCACAAATTATGTTAAGGAATTGGAATTGTAAATGAAGATTGTAGAAGGAATTGAGATAGCGCAGGCAGAAAGGCGTGTGGCCTGGTGCGTGTATATATACGTCATATAGACATACAGTATACGTACATGGTTTGTATGTATATGCAGGGGGCGGAGAAGGAAATATGAATAGCGAGGGTAGACTAGGGAAGGTATCAGCCATAGCCACGTGGCAGTAGGGCAGTCATACGGTGTGACGCATTTCATCGTTTTTCTGTCTTTTATTTTGATCCGTGACCGTAAATTTAATTCGTTGAACAGCTTTTAATTATCAATTTAAATATTTAATAAAATAATTTTTTGACATAATTTCTTATATTCAAAAGTTTTGTGATTCAACATTTTAAATAGTTTTTTTTTTACTTTATTTTCTTTTTATTTGCTTTTAAAAAATTACTATTTACTCTTTCGATTTAATTGAAAATTTTTGTTTGTGATACGATATTAAGGGTGTGTTTCTTTTGATGAGTTTGGAAAAAATTTAGTTTGAGTTTAGTATGAAAATAATGTTTGATTTGATATTTTTTTAGATGAAAAAATGTACTTCGTCCGTCCATTTAAGAAGTATAGGTTTACTTTTGGCGCAAAATTTAAAAAATAATAGTATTTTAATTATAGTAAATAGTTAAAAGTAGTGTAATGACATTTTTGCCCTTATATTTTTTTTTTTGTATAAAAGTAATAATGTGATGCAAAGTAATGGACTGTTTGGTTCATTGACTTTTTTTTTTGGTGGGATTGAGATTTCACAGTAAGATTTATATGCGATGAGATTTATTATATTTAGAATTTGGTAAAATGTGGTGGGATTTATATTTCTCACATCTTGTTTATTTTTCGTATGAATTGAAAGATTTGGATTTTTTATATTCTAAATGACATAATTGTCCTCCAATAAATTTTATTTATTTTGATAAATTAAACCTCTAATTTATTGTTAATATAAATTGAAAAAATATCAATAATTTTATAGGATGACAATATTTTCGCGTAAAGACCCGACCTATTTATTTGAAGTTTAGTCCAATTATTTGAGTATTAGGCGTGGATCCGGGTCATGTTCGGGGTGATATAATAATATATCAACTATACATATGAAAAAATAATTTTGAAGTTTAACGTATTTATTATTTTATTATAATATTTTTTTAATTAAATACATAAGTTTTAATATACATTAAATCCAGTACATGTGTAATTTTAAATTAAAATTTAAGAATTGTAAAAAAAATGAAGTTTTCGGATCCATCAAGTCTTTCCGGATATAGTCTCGGTCAGATTTAGTATAATCGGATCTAATTTGAGTCTCGTATCTAACAATATATATTTGGGATAAATATCAGTTCCGATTAAACCCGACTCATTGTGGTCCATATAATTTTATAATTCAAATAAAATTTGTAATAAATAATAATTTTAAACAATGAATTTATTAATTTATTTTAAAAAAATATTGTACCATAAAAAATAATATAAATTTAATTAAATATATAATTCAAATAATAATTAATTTTAAAATTATTTAATTTTTTAGATAAATATAATACTATTATTTTTTTATAAGATGATATAAATATAAAAATTAAAATTTCAAGAATGAGATTTAAAAGTAACAGGCCATTATAAAAAAAAAAAAAAAAAATTCCTTGTAGGATTTTGAACCCTCTTTTCTAATCTCATCACTTTAAATTCCACCCTTTTTTTTTTTAACCAAACATAGATTTCATAGAATTTTAAAATTCAAATCCCATATAATCCCATTAAATCTTTGAACCAAACAACCCCTAAAGGTATTTGTAGAAAAAAAATAGATATTTAATAAAATAATTACTTTGTAATTGGATGTTTCAAGATAAAAATATGTATATTTTATAGCTTGACAGAAGGAGTATTTTTTTTCGAAAACGCATAATCTAAATAATAAAATTTGGGGAAACTACGATAAAGAATCATATCATAAATATCTAAAATAGTAAAATTTAATAAATTAAGGATAATACTATTTAATATATTAACTATAATAATTTATGATATTGATTTATTTATTTTTTTATGTGAGTAAATAATGTTAATATTTTAAAAATAAAATTAATGTATGTAATTAAAAAAAATTAAATTATATATTTTAAATATTTTAAATCTTATATCTCAATAAAATATATAAATATAGATATCAAATCAAACTTGATGCTTTTGTTATTTTATCGACTCTTAGCGGGCTTTTGGTATAGAGAATGAAATTGCATAGAATTGATAGTAGATAATAGAATTGGAGATAAATGGAATTGAGTAAATGATGAGAATTAATTCTTTTGTTTGATAAAACAAAATTTAGTTGAAAAATATTAAAAAAATGCAGCTATGCGAATGATCAAACAATAATAAATGATTAACATGATAAAAAAAAATAATAATAACAAGAATTTATGAAAAATATTTTTGTTGACTTTTTTTTTTATAAAAATTACAAATTATATACGATGTTTTTTAAAATTATATTTTAATACAATTTCTTAAAAGATCGTAAAAATTAAATAGTTTAACAATAAATTAAATTTGATTTTTTATAAAATTAAAATAATATAATTTAAAAAAATTATAAAAATTAAATAGCACCAAAAAAATTTAAAAAAAAATTAAAAGAAAATATATTGCACCATTTCTCTCGATTTCTCCGCATATAAGAGAGAAATAAAATCAGAAAAATGAAAATAATTTATTTCTCAAGTTCCATTTCTCTATTTAAACAAACATACAAACACAAACCTAGTATCCTCATAATAGTGTAATTTTTTTACAAAACTAAGGTTTCCTTGTACAAGGATGTACGGAGTTCTTAAACTTTTAAAAATTATGGGAATAATAATAATAAAAAAAAAAAAGCATTTTATATGATTTTTTAAAGTAGTAGTATTTGATATGTCTTTATTAGAATAATAATAATAATAATTATTATTATTATTATTATTATTATTGATAAACGGTATTGAAAATTTCAAGAAGGCAAAATTCAGTTTGGATTTGAGTATGTCAAAAATAATTGAGGAATTAAATAAGAATAAGATTGAAGGCATTACCGGGGAGGGTTGTATGTATGTATGTATGTATGAACACAGTTGATGTACACAATTGACATATACAGTCGCGGATTTAGGATTATATTCTAAGGGGACTAATTTTAAAATTTATAAAATAATATATTTTATTTATAAATATATTTATTATTCGAAAAAATTATCATTCTAACTATTATATTTTTAAAAAATAAATATAAATAACGAATTACAACAATAATAATAGTTATATATTGTATTATAAATATTTTTTTATTTAGACAAAATATACAATTTTTTAATATTTTTTTTTATTTATCTTATTTTATCTATATTACATATATTTAAATAAAAAAAATACATAAATTTAAATAAGTAAAAAAAAAACTGTTGTGCGGTGGAGAGGGGAGCTGCAGCCCAAACTTGTCCCGACTCGTCCGCCCCTGGATATACACAAACAAAGTAGCACAGTACAATGCTCAAGGGCGTGTTTGGACACGTTTTTTTAGTGTTAAACCTGAGATTCAAAATAAATAGTTTAAGGAATTAATGATTTTATAGTTTTATACATGCAGATATGTTTATTACTATTCTTTCCATTTCACTTTATTCATTTATTATTTTTATTTCAGTCTCGTCCTATCTTATTTGTTCATTTTTTTTAGAAAAAATATAATTATACATTTTAGATATATTTTAATTTTTATAATTTATAATATTTTTTAAATTTTAATTATACTATTTAGTTATTTTAATTTTAATTTATAATTATTTTTATTATACAATAATTAATTTTACTAATATATTTTTTAATTTCTTACTAATTATATTTTATTTAAATTTTATATCTACAATAAATCAGACACAAAAGTAGGACAAGGGGAGTTAATTGTCAGTTAAGCCCGGTATGAATTCCTTACTATAATTGACTACCAATACGGCCGGGCCGGGCCGGCCCAGACCTATCTAATCAGTCTTTGACCGGAATAAATTTAAAACAGTCCGAAATGATATGGGTCGGGCAAAAAACCGATCCGGACTCCGGCAGGATTATACTGGACCAAATTATAATTTTGTATTGAAGAAAATTAAAAATAAATATATAGACTTAGATATCAGATATGGTGCTTATGGTTAAAAAATCAATCACTTTAATTTAGTTTATTAAATAATATTGTAATTATATAAATTAATTTATAAGTATTGCTGAATTCTCTGTAAATATATTCACTTTGTTGAAATTATATTATTATTCTTTTGTTAGATGTATTTGATTTATAATAAATAATTTTATTACTTATATTTAATTAGTAATAACTAATTTACCACTATTTTTACTTATTTTGTTTTTTTTACCAATTATTTAATATTTTTTTCATAATACTTTATTTTATTTTTTAGCTATTATACTTTAATCTTTATATTCAAATAAATTTATGGATGAAGTAATAAATAAAAGCAACTATCATGACTTACCGTTGAAATAAATTTGTTCATAGATAATTTTATTATTCATATTTAATTAATAATAAATAATTTATCATTAGTTTTTACTTATTTTATTTGTTACCTATTATATTTTAATATTTAAATATTATTATTTTTAATCTTTACATCTAAATAAATTTTATGGGATGAAGTAACAAATAAAAGCAACCACAAAGACCTCTTTCTAGAAGGCTTTACCGTTGGAATGAAAACTTTTTCTAGAAGATGTGAAAGTAATTTATTCAATGACATTTTCCTTTTATGAGATCAAAGATTTTTATAAATAAATAGACCTAATTACATATATACTAAACATACCTGGGAGATCAAAAGAGAATCAAAGGGTAACAAACCACTTGAGTCAAAAAGGGTAGCAAAATCTAACTCTAAAAACACTAAAAGAAATTTGAAGCATAAATAAAAATTCTCCAAATTATAAAATTGAGTACATAGATTAAAATTCCGTCTAAGTCAATCCAAATCTTCAACTACAAACTTGTATTTTCTG